TTTACATATTCAGTACATCATCTCAAAACGTTGAAAAATTCTGCGTATAGAAAAATGCTCATCAGAAATTAAACGAAAGGTTATATTATATAAAATAAAAAATCTTTGAAATAAGATTTATTTTTCCCCGAAAATAAATTTTTCCTTTTAAATACTGCGTGTTGCGTAGTAACAAAGCACTTGCTATTGTTATAACTGATAAATTTGAAATCGTATTGTATAGAAGCATACGTTGAGTGGGCGTGAAGAACGCCTGAAACAGGATCTGCGGAATTTCCTGTAAGAATCACATTCGAAAAACTTAGAATTCTGATTCTGTTGTATTTTCAGGCTCGGATTTTCTTTCTAGTTTTACTTTCTACAAAGAATAGAAAAAACTCCTCAGGAAAAAGTTTTCATAAAATATTTTTAATATATTTAATTTTTAACACTTGTTTCAAAATTTAGTTGAATTTAAGAAATTTTGTTTGAAAATTTAATTTAATTACTAAATATTTACATTTTATTTTAATGATAAAAATGATTTTGCTTTATACGAACATATTTTTAAGAAACTAAATTTTTTGAAAAAAGTCGATTTCTAAATTCAATTTTTCAAAACTTGAATAATTTTGCAAATATATATAATATAAATAATTTTTTTTTTCTGTGTATGTTTCAAAAATTTAATTATAGAAAAATCATTCAAAAATAATGTTTCAAAGATTTGTCTATAGTTATAATTTTTACACTAGAAAAATCGAAATAATTTGCATTTTATACCAAAGAATGTGGTTTTTGTGTCAAAAACTTTGAAGAAAAGTCCAAAAAAGTCGAATTTTTTGAAAATAAGTCGAAAAACTCAATAATATCCAAGGCCTGTATTTAAATACAATAGAAGATAAATATGCTAATAAATAGATAGAATATAAAATAAATGAAACAATTGCGATTAAAAAGAACAAAAAATGAGCGAAAAATCGTGAACAATTGAAATAAAAAAAAAAAATAAAAAAAAAAATGACTTGATTAAAAATTCCTTGACTATTGTCTGTGTGTGAGAGAGAACCCTATATTTGAAACTTGTTCGGGGGCCCAGTTTCGCATCGCCATAGGATAAGTAAAGACCTCTCCGCAGGATGAATACATCCGATATCTTTGGAATGGAGTGTAGGTCCAAAGACGGCGGACATTGCCTGAACCTGTCTCCACGGGCAGGGGCAGTCATCGATTGCGCCCCATGAGGAGAAGTAGCTTCCCCCCACCATGCGGCACACGGCAGTTTGGGACTGAATATACTCTCCCAGTGGGGTGGGGACTCCGACCTCTTAATCCCTCATTAAGCCGTTTTGCTTAATGACTTTTTTAAATAATTATATTTTTTTAATTTTTTTCATTAAATTCGAATTCCTTATTTTCTTACGACTTCAGGCATTTGTTGTTTGTTTAAAAAGTTAATTTAAATCTTTATAATTGAAATATATTTTTAACTTTCCCCATTCATACTATTCAATTTTAATTTTAGGTTTTAGCTGATTTTAGGCTTAACAGTGCCCCTAAAAAGTATTTTAGGAGAAATAGGGGACTGAAAATTAAAAAATAGGGGACTTTTGGGGGACCATAAAAATTGGTTAAATAGAGATAAAAATATAATTTATTTATACAGGGTTGCCACAAAAATTTAACTTTATTTTTCCCTGACTTTTTCCTGATTTCCAAACACAACTTTCACTTTTTCCCTGACCCTAAAGAATTATTCTGATTCACTCTCAAAATTATTAGATACTCAAAAAAATTATTTATTAAATTTATTTACAAATTTTTTCAAAAGTAAAATTATTCCAAAACATCAATGGTTTTATTTAAAATAAATATTTAATCATTTTTTTTCATTGGAATTAAGATGTTTAAAAATTTCAAATTCAAACCTATTCAAATTGAACAACTCATAAGAATATTATTATAAAACATAAAAATATCGATCACTCCGAGTGATCCATTTCTTTATGTTTTATAATAATTAAAGATGACCGACTGACAAAATCATTAGTTTATTATTATAAGAATATTGTTACTGTAATTTCTTCAAAATTATTTGTATCATTTCAATTTAATTAACATTTTCTAGAATTTTTACTAAAATTCTACTTTAAATCAATAATATCAATTATTCAATTAAACTTTTTCAAAAAAATTAATTCTACAGAATTGTCAGTTAAAAGTACGAAAAACAATAATTTAATTCTACGAGAAATCAATTATTTAAATACAAAAATAAATAATATTGAATGTTTCTTAAAATTTAATTTTTACGAAGAATTGTATTAACAACTTTTGAAAATATTTAATTTCCTTTAAAGAATTTGATTGAAATTTTAATGAAATTTATTATAATAAAAAATTATATAACAAGTTTTGAAAATAATTGAAAACTTTTTGAAGAATTTTATTAAATTTTTTAAAAATAATTGAATTCCTGAAACGAATTTAAATAATAATTTTTTCTAACAATTGAATTCATGAGAAGAATTTTATTAAAATTTTTTAAAATAATCGACTTCTTGAGAAGAATTTAAAAAAAAATTTTGACAATAATTTAATTCTTGACGAGAATTTTAAACAATTTTTGAAAATAGTTTAATTCCTGCCAAGTATTTTACTACTTTTCAAAAGAATTGAATTCTTGTCATGAATATTGATATTTATCAAAATAATTGAATTTTGGAAAAGAATTTTATTAAAATTCCTTAGAATAATTGATTTTATGGGAAGAATTTATGCGATTTTGTTGTTTATGAAGATAATTGAATTCTTTTGCAAAATTACTTGAAAATTTTTAAAAATAATTGATTCTCTGCAACGAATTAAATATTATTTATGAAAATATTTGAATGATTGCAACGAATTTTATTGTTTTACTGAATAATTGAATGTTTCTTAAAATTTAGTTCTTTCCTCAAGTTTTAATACAATTTTTAATAATAATTGCATTTTTCAAGGAATTTATTTAAAATTGTATTAAAAATATTTGGAATTTTGCGATAAAAATAATTGAATTCGTAAATGAAATTTTATTATTTATAAAAATAATTGAATCTTTTCGTAGAATTGTATTAACAAGATTTTTCTATAATTAAATGTGTTGATAAATTTTATGAAAATAGTAAATATTTAAAAACACTGAATTGCGAAAAACTTTTAAAAATAATTGAAATTTTGCAAAGAATTTTATTTTAATTTTTGGCGAAAAATTTTGCTATTATTTATAAAAATAATTGAATTCTTGACGAGATATTTTTTAAAATTTATAAAAATAATTGAATTGATGAGAAGAATTTTATTAAATTTTGTTTAAATAATTGAAATTTTACCAAGAATTTTATTAAATTTTTTGGCAATAATTGAATTCTTGAGAAGAATTTTGATATTTATCAAAATAATTAAATTTTGGAAAAGAATTTCATTGAAAATCCTTAAAATAATTGATTTTATGGGGAGAATTTTGTCGGTTATCAAGATAATTGAATTCTTTTGCAGAATTACTTAAAAATAATTGAAAATAATTGATTTCCTGCGACGAAAAAAATAGGGGAAATTTTCAAAATAGGGTACGTTTAGGGGCCAAAATTAAAAAAAGGGGACTTTTAGGGAAATAGCGGACAGACTGTGAAGCCTGTGAAATGATTTTTTTGTATTGTTTTGTATGTAATTAAATTTGAATTCAAAGAGTTATGAATGAAGTTATAATGAAGTTTTCAACCTATTTTTTTGTTAGTATAATCAGGTTAAGGCTGTTATGTGTCGATTCGTTTGCCTGTTGCAGTATTCGTGCAATGTGCCTTTGTCGTTGAATTTATAATCAAATATCTGAGTGATGATGACAGTAGGTACCATAATTGCAACAAAATATTCATGTTCTCCAAAGGTTTTTTTTTTCTTATAATGATAAGGGGCGTTGATTCTTTTCCTGGTTGGGGAGGGGAAGGTCACTTCCCCTCACGGGACGGAATTGATGATCGCCCGTCTCCACGCATTGAAGTCTCCAGGCTCACCTGCATTCCATCAAGGCGTGGGAAGGTGGAAGGGGTCCCTTTCGGGACTTCAGGTTCGAACAAACTTTCTATAGTGCCCTGTTGATGAGTCACACAGCATTCTACACTCGAACTCTCATTCTGCGAACCGCGGCTCTCCCATTAAAAATGTAAATAGTTGAAGAGATAATAGTATATATATAGCCATTCTAAAACAAGTTCCTTTAGGTTCATTTTTTTCCTTTCCTTTCTTTTCTTTCTTCTTTTCTATTCCTAAAGATGATGTCTTGATGAAGAGACTTTCTGATAGCAATACTTTATATATTAGCTTTTATTGACTCCTCTTATATTGTGAGTTAATGATGATCCATATATTATGTATAGTTAATCATTTGTCGACAATGATATTTTCTTTCTTTCTTCGTCTGATTTTACTATTTTCAAAGTAACACTTCTAAGCATTTTTGGCAATTTTTACTATTTCTCAGGGCTCGAAATTGCTTCAAGTCCATAAAAGTCAGTTTTTTTAAACAAGATCCGTAAAGTCCGTAATTTTATTGAGAAAAAAATGAAAAGTTCGTAAATTGTACGATGTAATTTGGAGAATTTTAGAGAAATTACAAATCATTGCAGAAATTCAAGTATTTTCAAAATTAATAAAATATGAAATAATAATTGAATTAATAATGACTTTATCACTCGGTCATCTTTAATTATTATAAAACATGAAGAATGCTATCAATCCGACTCGAAGACTCGGAGTCATGAATAATTTTTTTAGAGTAAATTTTACGATTTGTGAAATAAATTTTTCTAATTTTTTTTATATAGAAAATTGTCTTTTAAAAATATTAAAAGTTATTCTGGAGATAAATAAGTAGTATAGAAAAAACAATTAATAGAATTTCGTAATATAGAATTAATATAATTAATTTGATTTAATGTTTAATTTACTATCGAATTTCTAATGGAGCAAATTTTCATTTTCAGAAAATTGGGACTTGATTTGGTGCCAAGGCAAGGCGCTCATATGGTTGACCCGGATGATATGTCAGTAGTCGAACTTTATCACGTGGTAAATATATTTTTATACTCTTCTACTGTCAAAATGTATTTTCTTTTTACTTATTTTTTTAGGGTTTCGTTCATGAAGTTTCGTAAACAAAGAAAAACAAAATTTAATTTTTGTGGCATCAGGAAATTTTATCAGAAGTACTTGAAAAATATTAAATTTTTAGAATTAGTACAAAAAAAGTCCTTGGTTTTGTAATAATTATGATCTTAAAAGTTCTGAACGTTCAAATAAACGTTTATTTAATTCTTTGTGACAATTCAATTTTTTTCAATATAATTTTAATAAAATTTTTCGTAGAAATTTAATTAATTTAAAAAATTTGTAAAAATTCAATTATTTTCGATATCTATTATTTCAATAAAATTTCACAAAAGAATTCAATTATTTAAAAAGAAATTTTAATAAAATTCTTTGTAGAAATTCAATTATGTTAAAAAATTTACAAAAATTCTCGTCAAAATTTCTATTATCTTTATAAATAATAGAATTTTTCTCCGAAACTCAATTATTTTCAAACATTTTAATAAAATTCTTGGCAGAAATTTAATTTTTTTCAAAAGTATAGTAAAAATTTTCTCAGAAATTCAATTATTTAAAAAAAAATTTAATAAGATTCTTGGCAAAATTTCAATTATTCTCAAAAACTTTCCTCAATTGAATGATTTTTAATATCTACTACATTAATAAAATTTCACAAAAATATTCAATTATTTTCATAAATAAGAAAATTCCTTTTTGGAATTTAATTATTTTTATAAATAATAAAACTTATCGCAGAATTTCAATTATTTTTAATACAATTTTAATAAAATTTCTGGAAAAATGAAATTATTCTTAAAAGTTTTATTAAAATTCGTCAAAAGAATTTAATTATTTAAAAATTTATTGATAAAACTCTTTATTAAAATTCAATTTTTTAAGAAACATACAATTATTCAATAAATTATTTACTTTTAAATTTAAATAATTGAATTCTCGTAGAATTTTCTAATAAAAAATTATTTAAAAATGGATTTCAGTTAAAATTTTAGGTAATAATTGAATATTAAAAGCATTACAGATTAATTTTTAGAAATAATTGAATTTTGAAATGGTTTCAAATTAAAATCTTTGAAAATCTGAATTTTTCATATTTTTAACTAACAATTCTGTGGAATTAATTTTTTTTGAGAAAGTTTAATTGCGGATTTTTTTTTGAAATTATTTCTTTTTTTTTATTTTCTAACATATATTTAATTGAAGAATTTATGAATAATTGAATTTTCGTAAAATTGAATATTGTAAACAAATGAATTTGAAAATTGTTAAAAAACTTTTTCAAAAATTATTAAAAATAATGGATTAATGGAAGATGTTTAGTTAAAAACACGAAAAAAAAATTCAATTTTCTAAGAGTTACAAATTATTGCAAAAGTTCAATTATTTTCAAGAGTAATAATATTCTTCGTAAAAATTAAATATTGTTCAAAAGTAATAAAATTCTTCTTTGGGATTCAATTATTTTCACAATTAATAAATCTCATTGCAGAATTTCAATTATTTTTAATAGAATTTTAATTCAATGTCTCGAAGAATGTAATTATTCTTAAAAATTTTATTAAAATTTTTTGATAGAATTCAACTATTTTGAAAATTTATTGATAACGATTCTTTATGGGAATTTAATTTTAAGAAACATGCAATCATTCAATAACTTGTTTTGTATTTAAATAATTGAATTCTAGTAGAATTTTCTATTAAAAACTGATTTAAAAATGAATGTCAGTTAAAATTTTAGATAATAATTGAATTTTGAAATTAATTTTTTTGAAAAAGTTTAATTGAATTTTTCTTATATTATTTGAAGTTTTTATTTTGTAATATTTATTTAATTGAAGAATTTACGAATAATTGAAATTTCGTAAAATTGAATATTGTAAACAAATCGATTTGAAAATTTGTCAAAGAACTTTTTCGAAAATTATTAAAAATAATTAATTTAAAGAAGAATATTTTAGTTAAAAATTCTTGTAAATAATAAATGAATTGTAAATGTTCTCTTATTTGACTCGCACTGGTTATATTTTTGTCATTGGTTTGTAAATGATCCGTAATTTTTCATTTTTGGCTCGTAAAGTCCGTATTTTTAAATACTGGTTCGAGTTGAAATCAAAATTTTTGCTTCTAAAATTGATAATTTTTTATAATTGAATTCCCCTTGAATTTTTTAATAGCGATGAGGAAAAATGTAAAAATTTTGTCTGGAAATTAGGAAAAAGTCATCAGGAAAGAATAGAATAGAATTTTGTTGACAATCCTGAATAAGTATTGTGGTGTATTTTTATGAGTAAAAATTTAATTTTACTAAAAATATAATGTGCCGATAAGAATTGAAGTTTTTTTTCAAGAAATGATAAATTTCGGAAAATGTGGTCCAGCCTATAAATTTTATTTTTTACTACTAAATAAATTCGTTTCATCTACGAACCCCTAGTTTTCAGTTATGCGACTTAAACTCAAACTTGTTAAATTATTTTCTTAATTCATAAAAAAAAATGTGATTTCAGCATGTGCAGAGTGCGGAAAATTCTCAGGGCTCATCGGCAATTGGTACACTGAAGCGAAAAGTCCAAAAAAAAGTTTTAACCCATCATTTGTACTTTTGTATGAGGGATTTTGGACATTCAGTTGGCGAGGATACGGAAATTTATTTTTCATTGTACGACGGTAGACGGAGTCAATATATTAGCGAACGATTTTTGGTGAAAATATCGAAGGAAGGATTTTCAAATTACGTGGAGAAAATGCACAGTAATTGTACAATATTCACGGATTTGGGTAATGCTGATCTTGGTCGTGATTTGTATATGGTCGCTCATGTCATGCGTTGTGGCAGAATGCTCTATTCAGATTCTGGGAAAAATAAGGCCGGAGCAACAACTTATAGAAGACCACACGGGGTGGCCGTACTTTCTCTCGCGGACGCCTCACAAAATCACACCGAGGAATCGGAACTTACTTTTAAGGTAAACTTTATGACATTTGAATTTATCATTTGAATAACAAAGATCTGATTTGTATATATTTTTCAATCGATTTTTCATTTTTTTAATTTTGAAGTAACAAAATTTTCATTTTTTTTTAATCTTGAAGTAACAAAATTTTCATTTTTTCAATCTTTAAAGTAACAAAATTTTCTCTAGGTACGAATTTTTAAATGTAAATTCTGTATTAAAAATTTGAAACTAAAAGTATTTTTCCCCTTTTTGTAGATGAACATTTTCTCACGGGGAGAATTGTTTCTGAGGTATTATACTTAATGCTGAGTCTTTTGTACGATTTGCTTGTGAGAAATTCTCACCTTGTCTTTTCTGTCTACACACGTGACTTGAAAGCAAATTTAACAAGCCACGTCTTTTGCCAATGTTGAGACAATCGTTTTCCTTGTTATTTGAAAGTTTCGCTTATTTTTACGTGAAAAAACAATATCCAGGAATTTTTATTTATTTAAAATTAAATTTATTTCTAATTTTATTAATATTTAATATTTTTTTATTCATCTACACGGAAAAAAAAATCAGCCTAATAATGCATGGAGTCTATTGGTTCGATTTTTACATGAGCCCATTTTGCAAATATCACACAGGAGTTTACTAAAAATGCATGGCTTTTGTGACTTTTGCCACAGCACCATGCGAAAATAGGATGGATTCCAAGCTAATCACGCATGGTAGTGTGCGTGCAATATACACAACAGACGCTCATGTGTTTTTAGCCTAGTATTTTTTTCCGTGTAGAAAAGATTGTAATATTTCAATTTCTTCTGAAAGAAGAATTTTAGTTAAAAACACTAAAAAAAATTTGCATTTTGGAAAACTTACAAATGATTGCAAAAAATTCAATTATTTTCAAAAGTTTAAAAAAATTTTCCTCAAAATTTTAATTATCTTTATAAATAATAAAATTCTTCTCCGAAATTCAATTATTTTCATAAAAATTTAATAAATTTCTTGGCAAAATTTCAATTACTTTCAGAAATTTTCCTCAATTCAATGATTTTCATTCTCTATTTTAATAAAGTTTTTTAAAATAATTTAATTATTTAAAAGAAATTTTAATTTTTAATAATTTTTAAGTAATTCTGCAAAAGAATTCAATTATCTTGATAATCAACAAAACTCTCCTCATAAAATCAATTATTTTAAGGATTTTCAATAAAATTCTTTTCCAAAATTCAATTATTTTGATAAATATCAAATTTCTTCTCAAGAATTCAATTATTGTCAAAAATTTTAGTTAAATTCTTGACACAATTTCAATTATTTAAACAAAATTTAATAAAATACTTTGCACGAATTCAATTATTTTTATAAATTTTAATGAATAATCTCGTCAAGAATTCAATTATTTTTATAAATAGCAAAATTTTCGCAAAAAATTCAATTATTTTCAAAAATTTAAATAAAATTCTTTACAACATTTCAATTATTTTTAAAAGTTTTTCGCAATTCAATGTTTTTAAATATTTACTATTTTCATAAAATTTATCAACAAATTTAATTATAGAAAAAACGTGTTGATACAATTCTACAAAAAGATTCAATTATTTTTATAAATAATAAAATTTCATTTACGAATTCAATTATTTTCATCGCAGAATTTTAAATATTTTTAGTACAATTTTAAATAAATTCCATAAAAAATGCAATTATTATTAAAAATTTTATTAAAACTTGAGGAAAGAATTAAATTTTAAGAAACATTCAATTATTCAATAAAACAATAAAATTCGATGCAATAATTCAAATATTTTCATAATTTTCAATTATTTTAAAAATTTTTTAAATAATTTTGCAAAAGAATTCAATTATTTTCAAAAATTTTAATAAATTTCTTGGCAAAATTTCAATTATTTAAACAAAATTTAATAAAATTCTTGTCCAAAATTCAATTATTTTGATAAATATCAAAATTCATCACAAGAATTCAATTCTTTTGAAAAGTAATAAAATACTTTGTAGAAATTAAATTATTTAAAAATTTTTTTAAAAATTCTCTTCAAGAATTAAATTATCTTTATTAATAACTAGGGGAATTATTCTCAAAAATTAAATTATTGTCAACATTTTTTTTTAAATTCTTCTCAAGAAGTCAATTATTTTCAAAAATTTTAATAAAATTCTTCTCATGAATTCAATTGTTTTCAAAAATCATTATTTAAATTCTTCTCAGAAATTCAATTATTTTTAAAAAATTTAATAAAATTCTTGAAAAAGTTTTCAATTTTTTTCAAAAATCCTTTAATATAATAAATTTCATTAAAATTTTAATTAAATTCCTTAAAAGAAATTAAATATTTTCAAAAGTTGTTAATAAAATTCTTCGTAAAAATAAAATTTTAAGAAACAGTCAATATTATTTATTTTTGTTTTTAAATAATTGATTTCTCGTAGTGTTAAATTATTGTTTTTAGTACTTTTAACTAACAATTCTGTAGAATTAATTTTTTTGAAAAAATTGAATTGAATAATAATAATTGATATAATTGATTTAAAGTAGAATTTTAGTTAATAATTCTAGAAAATGTTAATTGATTTGAAATGATAATACAATGTTAATCGAATTCCTCGAAAAAATGTAATTATTCTTAAAAATTTTATTTTTATTCGTCGAAAAAATTCAATTATTTAATAATTTGTTGATAAAATTCTTTATAAGAATTTAATTTTATTGAGAAACATTCAATTATAGGAATAAATTATTTATTTTTCAATTTAAATAATTGAATTTTCGTAGAATCTGTAAATGAGGGAAAAATCAGGGAAAAAGAAAATTTAATTTTTGTAGCAAACCTTGAAATACTACATAAAAAGAAATCAACTTAGTAAAGATAATGGATTGAAAAGAGAATTAATTACATTAATTAAGTCCAGAGATATCAGAGAGAAGAAAGGTAAAGATTTGAAAGTAATAATGTTCATAAATTTTACAGGTTTATCAAGGAGACGAGAAGGAATTTCACCAGTTGCACGAGCAGATAATTCGTAACAACAAATGTTCGCCGCTTCCAGGTCAACCGAATTACGGCATAGTTGTCTCGTTTCGTGTTCTTCACGGTGAATTATGCCAGGTGCGTGAGGAGAATCCTTTACTGTTCAAGAATATTTGTTTGACCAAAAAACTTGGATTTTCTGACGTCATAATGCCGGGTGATGTTAGAAATGACTTGTACCTGAGACTGGAAAGAGGAGACTTTGAACGCGGTGGCAAGTCAACTGGAAAAAATATTGAGGTAAAGAATATAAATTGGTTGAGATATTTTGCGAAAGATAAAAATTTAAATACATGTAAAGTCTCTTCTATTGAGTTCTATTTTAAATCTTAGTTTTTCGTTTAAAAGTATAAATGCAGATGACAATAGAAGTAAAAATTTCTTTTGTCAACGAACAGGTCACTATACTTGTCTTGGATGCGGAAGGTCAACCATTGGAAGGTGCCTTGTTCGGAGCAGCAGGAACTGAGGGAAGTTCCGAGTACCAAAGTTTGGTTATTTATCATCACAATAGTCCAACTTGGGCTGAAACTGTGAGACTCGCAATACCAATTGATAAATTTTATGGGAGTCACGTTCGTCTTGAGTTTAGACATTGCTCGAGTAAGTCAGAGAAATGCAAAGTTGCCACAAGTTAGGGAATTTTATTAAAAGTACTTAAAAAGAAGTATTAAATCAAAAAACTTTTATATTATTATTTATAAATTATTTAGAGAATATTTTTACTTGAAAATTGAAAAAATAATTAAATTTTAAAGTTGGAGTAATTCACAACGTTTATAATTAAAGATCGAGAGGAAAAAGTATTTCTCTATTTAAAAAAATTTATTATTTTCCGCGTGAAAACATTTTTTTTCTTTCAATCATTAATCTTAAACATTGAAAATTTCGCTAAAATGAATTTTGGTAATGTTGCGTTTGAAAGTTGAGGAAAAACAAAATCAAATTTTTTTAACTCTGTTAATTCAGTGTTATTTTCTGTTTGAAAAATGTTAAGTAATTTTTTGATTAAAGTGATTTAAAAAATATATTTTAAACTTGATTCTTTTTAGCACGAGATAAAAACGACAAGAAGCTGTTTGCTTTTGCCTTTGTCCATTTAATGGAAGCCGGTGGTGCTACTTTACAAGATGGACAACACGAACTTTTTATATATAAATGCGAAGAGAAGAGCAAACTCGAGTCTTCGAATTATTTATCTCTTCCCAGTACGCCTCGAGACCCCAATTATCCAGGTATGAAATTTATTAATGATGAATTTTTAAAAGTTCTAGTATATTTGCATTCACTATAAGCATAATTTTCACGATTATTGCATTTCAAAGATTTAAGAAAAAATTTTATATACACAATTTTCATAATCACTTTAATTAATAAACATTCCAGGCTTCGGATAATATAATTTTTTTCGACTTTTTTTTATTGTTTTGAAAAAATGAGACATTTTTTGTGGCTAATTTTTATAAAATATGACTTTTTGACTTTTCTTCTGTATATTCAATTGAATTCTCTAACAATATCCTGAAAATTATGAAAAAGAATGGCTTTAAAGAAAGAATTATAGTTGAAATTGATAAAAAATAATGAAATTCAAAAAGGATTTTTGAAAAATTTTAATTCAAATCTTTCTAATACTAGTTGAATTTTTGAATAAAGAATATATTTTGAATATAGAAATTAAGAAAAACTTTGAATAAAGAAAAAAAGGAAAATTAATTGAAAATTTTTTGAATAATCGAAATTTGGTAAAATTGAATTAAAAACATTTGGATTTTTGCTTCCAAACTAAAGTGAAGTTTCTTTTTTTTTAATAATTAAATTGTCAGAGAACCTCCACAAAATTATTGAAAATAATTGATTGATAGAAGAATTTTTGTTAAAAATTCTAGAAAATAATTGACTTTTGGAGAAATTTGCAGTAGCAATTTTTAGAAATAAATAGATTTCAGGTTTCAACTTACAAAATTACGTTTTTTTAAATATTTATATCTATGTAGAAATTCAGTAATATTTGAATATTCATTTTAAAAAATTATTGATCTTTTGAATAATTTTAGTTAAAAATTTTTAAATTTAAAAAAAGAAAATTTTTCTTTCTAAAATTTTATTATTTAGGAAAAAATTGAATTTTAGAAGAATTATATTAACAACTTTTGAAAATATTTAATTTCTTTTAAGGAATTTAATTAAAATTTTAATGAAATTTATTATATTAAAGAATTTTATAACAATTTTGGAAAATAATTGAAAACTTTTTGAAGAATTTTATTAAATTTTTAAAAATAATTGAATTCCTGAGAAGAGTTTAAATAATAATTTTTGAAAACATTTGAATTCATGAGAAGAATTTTATTAAAATTTTTGAAAATAATTGACTCCTTGAGAATAATTTAAAAAAAATTTTTGACAATAATTTAATTCTTGAGAAGAATTTCCCTATATATTTATAAAGATAATTTAATTTCTGCAAAGCATTTTATTACTTTTCAAAAGAATTGAATTCTTGTGATGAATTTCGATATTTATTAAAATAACTGAATTTTGGAAAAGAATTTTATTAAAATTCCTTAGAATAATTGATTTTATGGAAAGAATTTAAGCGAATTTGTTGTTTATCAAGCTAATTGAATTTTTTTGCAAAATTACTTAAAATTTTTTTGAAAATAATTGATTTTCTGCGACGAAATAAATGTTATTTATGAAAATATTTGAATGATTGCAACGAATTTTATTGTTTTACTGAATAATCGAATGTTTCTTAAAATTTAATTCTTTTCTCAAATATTAATAAAATTTTTAATAATAATTGCATTTTTCAAGGAATTTTTTTAAAAATGTATTAAAAATATTTTAAATTCTGTGATGAAAATAATTGAATTCGTGAATCAACATTTTATTATTTATAAAAAAAATTTAATCTTTTCGTAGAATTGTATCAACAAGTTTTTTCTATAATTATTTCTGTTAATAAATTTTATGAAAATAGTAAATATTTAAAAACATTGAATTGCGAAAAACTTTTGAAAATAATTGAAATTTTGCAAAGAATTTTATTTAAATTTTTGAAAATAATTGAATTTTTGGCGAAAATTTTTGCTATTTATAAAAAGAATTGAATTGATGAGAAGAATTTTATTAAAATTTTTGAAAATAATTGACTTCTTGAGAAGAATTTAAAAAAAAATTTTGACAATAATTTAATTTCTGCAAAGTATTTTATTACTTTTCCAAAGAATTGAATTCTTGTGATTAATTTTGATATTTATCAAAATAATTGAATTTTGGAAAAGAATTTTATTAAAATTCCTTAGAATAGTTGATTTTATGGGAAAAATTTATTCGATTTTTTTGTTTATCAAGCAAATTGAAGTCTTTTGCAAAATTACTTAAAAATTTTTGAAAACAATTGATTTTCCGCTACGAATTAAATGTTATTTATGAAAATATTTGAACTATTTTAAACGAATTTTATTGTTTTCTTCAATAATTGAATGTTTCTTAAAATTGAATTCTTTCCTCAAGTTTTAATAAAATTTTTAATAATAATTGCATTTTTCAAGGAATTTATTTAAAATTGTACTACAAATATTTGAAATTCTGCGATGAAAATAATTGAATTCGTAAATGAAAATTATTTATGAAAATAATTGATTCTTTTCGTTGAATTGTATCAACAAGTTTTTCCTATAATTAAATCTGTTGATAAATTTTATGAAAATAGTAAATATTTAAAAACACTGAATTGCGAAAAACTTTTGAAAATAATTGAATCTTTGCAAAGAATTTTATTTAAATTTTTGAAAATAATTGAATTTTTGGCGAAAAATTTTGCTATTTATAAAAATAATTGAATTCTTGACTATAGATATTCATTAAAGTTTATAAAAATAATTGAATTTATGCAAAGTATTTTATTAAATTTAATTTAAATAATTGAAATTTTGCCAAGAATTTAATTAAAATTTTTGACAATAATTTAATTCTTGAGAAGAATTTTGATATTTATCAAAATAATTGATTTTTGGAAAAGAATTTTATTAAAATTCCTTAGAATAATTGATTTTATTGGGAGAATTTTGTTGTTTATCAAGATAATTAAATTCTTTTGCAGAATTATATAAAAATTATTGAAAATAATTGATTTTCTGCGACGAATTAGAAAATATTTATGAAAATAAATTCCAAAACAAAAGTTTCCAATTGAAAGTTTTAACGGCACTTTGCTAAATTTGGTGTTAATTCATCATTAAAAGATAAAGGAAAAAAATAGGGGAAATTTTCAAAATACGATATACGTTTAGGGGCCAAAATTAAAAAAGGGGACTTTTAGGGAATTAGGGGACAGACTGTGAAGCCTGGTATAAAATTTTGTTTTATGAATAAAATTGAAATATTTTGCTGTAATAATTGAAAAAATATAAAAACTTTTAGTTAGTATTTTGTTTGTTAATTATATTTATGATTTATTGTTTATTCAGGTGTCGCGCCATTCTCGAGATCGCCGAAGGAAGCGGTTTTCATAACAACATTACTTTGTAGTACAAAATTGACGCAGAACGTCGATATATTAAGTTTACTGCAATGGAAAGCGCATCCTGAGAGGATATCCGACTCGTTGAATAAAGTTTTGCGATTAGACGGCGAGGAGACTGTGAAATTTTTACAAGACATTTTGGACGCATTATTTTCCATGTTCCACACTGAAGATGGAAATTCAACGGCCTATTCGGGACTTGTGTTTCAAGTGTTAGTTTCAATATTTAGTTTACTGGAGGATCCGAAATTCGAGCATTTCAAACCGGTAATGAATGCATATATATCGGGACATTTTGCCGCTGCTCTTGTTTACAAGGGATTATTGAGTAGCATACAACATTGCGCCGATTGGGTGAAGGCATCGGAAAGACAAGAACCAATAATGAAGTGCTTTAGATCACTGGAATATATATTTAAATTTATTATTCAGAGTCGATTATTATTTGCGAGAGCAACAGCTGGACAATATGAGGACAGTTTTAGAAGGGATCTTTATTGTTTGTTCACGGCACTAAATAAAATGTTGACTCTACCTTACGATATGGTTTTACAATCACAAGTGGCATTATTGATGTCGATACCAACGGTTTTTGAGCAATTAATTGCAGTTTTACCAGTTTCGGAGGTTGTTAAATTGACATGCACAATGTTGGATTCAATACCAAGAGAACCGCCGCCTCAATTAATTCAAACGAAATTACAAGCTATTAAAAGTCTCGTGACGTCGGAATTGTTTGAGGATGACGAGAGTCGTAATTTATTGTTGATTACAATTTGTAAACACTTGAGGATTCATTTAGCGAGAAGAGAGGAATTGAGAGCTTGTACTGATATTCTTGGTGATATTTTGAACTTTTTATACAAGAGAGCGAGAGACACGAACAAAGTGAATAATTGCATTCATCATGACATTGAAACGTTGGTTCTATCCATTCTTGATGTTTTAATACAAACAATATTGATAATTGTTAATGCGAATGGACCAGTTTTGGGTAATTTAGTGGCGTGCTTGATTAGTTTACTGCAACTTTTAGACGAGTATCATTACTCGAGACTGTGGGAGGAATTAACGTTGGGTGGTGATCGTAAAGCACTCAAGGAATTTTTATTGAGAGTATTTTTCGTTCTACGTGATTTAGTGAGACAATCAATATTTGCAGCGGACTGGCTCGTTATACGAATGCAGGCGAATAATGTTATTTTAAAATCACTGCAAGAACTTGCGCAACCATTGGCTTTTCGATTTTTACATAATAATTTTGATTTTCAATTGTGGTCGACTTATTTTAATTTAGCTGTGGCTTATCTCACGCAACCGTCATTACAATTGGAGCAATTTTCCGAGGTGAAGCGAGAGAAAATTATTGAAAAGTACGGTGACATGAGAGTGCTGATGGGCTTTCAAATATTGTCAATGTGGTCACGTCTTGGTGAACGAAAATTGGAATTTATTCCGGGAATGGTGGGACCATTTTTAGAAGTTACTTTAGTGCCAGAAAGTGAATTGAGAAAGGCGACATTACACATTTTCTTCGATATGATGGAATGTGAACAACAAGCACGTGGTAGTTTCAAGTCCGTTGAGTCTGAATTGATAGATAAGCTAGACATTTTGATTAGTGAAAATAAAGGAGATGATGAATATCGACAGCTGTTTAACACCATGTAAGTTGATTTTATTTTTATCCCATTTACATGTTTTCAATTTTAATTTCAAATTTTTCATTTTTTGTCGTTTAATATAGTTGGAAAAAAATTTAAATCTATATTTCAGGGTTGCCACAGGTCAGGGAATAGTCAGGAATTTTGATCAAAAGTAATGGAAAAAATTAAATTTTTAGAATTCCTAAGAAAATTATGAATTTTTGTGTCTTTTTTGTTTTCTTTAAAACTATGAAATCACCACGAATTCTAATACAAAACCATTAATTTTTTCTATTTCTGACAATAATTTCTTTTCAAATAACTTAATTCTTTTAACTATAACATAAAATTATTACTTAGATAGAAATTATTTAATGAATAATTTTACTTAAAAATTTCGAAATTAATTGAATTTTAAAAGAGTTGCATTTACAATCTTTTTAAATAGATAAACTTTTCAAAGGTTTTAATTTGAAATGTTATAAAATTTCAATTTTTAATGAATTTAAATAGAAATTTTAAGAACAACTGCTTCAGAAAATCAATTATTTTCAAAAGTGATAAACTTCTTCTCAAAAATTCAATTATTTTCAAAAATTTTCCTCATTTCAATATTATTTTTAATCTACTATTTTAATCAAATTTTCCAAAAGAATTCAATTATTTAAAACAAATTTTTGAGAAAAATTTCATAGGAATTCAATTACTTACCATTTTTTTTTTATAAATTTCTTCGTACCAATTCAATTATTTTTAATTTTTTAATGAAGTTTCTCGAAAGAATTCAAATATATTCAGAGAATTGTAAAAAAAAATAGTTCTGAGAAATTCAATTATTTCGAAAAATTTAAAAAAAATTCTTTTAAAAATTCTATTATTTAAAAAAATGTTGACAAAATTCTTTACAAGATTTAGTGAATAAAATTGCAATTTTAATAAAATTTTCCTATACAATTCAATTATTTTCAATACAATTCTTCTTAAGAATTCAATTATTTTCACAAATAATACATTTTTTATAGGAATACAATTATTTTAAAAAATTTCAATAAAATACTTCGCAAGAAATCAATTATTTTTCATAAATAATAAAGTTTTTCTTGAGAATTTAAAAAATTTTTTATTAAAATGCTTTTTAAATTTGAAAAATTATAATAAAATTTATGATAGAATAAAATTATTTTCGTAAAATTAAAATTTCGTAAAAACCTTCGAAAAAATCCAATTATTTTCGTAAAAAATCAAATTCTTCGAAGCAATTCAATTATTTAAGAAATTTTAATAAAATTCTTCCCAAAAATTCAATTCTTTTCAAAAATAAACATTTTCAGAGGAATTCAATTATTTAAAAAAAAATTAAATAAAATTCTTCGTCAGATTTCAATTATTTTCAAATTTTTAAATGAAAATTTCTCGATAGAATTTAATTATTTTCAAAAAGTTTAAAAAAATTGTGAAAAATTCAATTACATATTTAAAAAAAATTTGAATAAAATTCTTCACAAGAGATTAATTATTTTCATAAATAATAATATTTTTCTCCAGAATTCAATTATTTTCAGAAATAAAATTCTTCACAGGAATTCAATTCTTTAAAAAAAAGTTTTATAATAAAATTCGTTGCAAGAATTAAATTATTTTCGTAAAAAATAACAAAACTTGTGGCAGAATTTCAATTATTTTGTATACAATTTTAAATAAAATGATAGAAAATTGCATTTATTCTTAAATTTTTTTTCAAATTCACCGAAAGAATTAATTTATTTTTCAAAATTTTGATAAAATTCTTCATAAAAATTCAATTTTTAGAAATATTTAATTATGTTATGTCTCAAATAATGATGTTATGTCTCTTTCTGATCAATAGTACCTTTGCTTAGAGAAGAATAAGGATTCAGACTCCATTGTATAGAATATTTATTATAAATACAAAATACGTCGCGATGACGTGACAATTATTTTAAAAAATTATTTATTTTTATATTTAAATATTTGAATTCTCGAAAAATTTTCTAATAAATGTTGATTCAATTACCGTTGAACAAAGTAAATTAAAATTTTTTCAAATCGTAATCTTTCTTCTTTGTATAATCTGTTCGCAGTTTAAAGTTAGTTGTTGTTTGCTTTTTTGTTTCTTAACTGTTTTTAATAATTTTTCTTTTGAAATATTTTCAATTTTAAAATTAATTTATTGAAAATCATCGAATTTTTTCATAGAATTTAATCAAAATATTTGATAATAATAATTATTGAATTTGATTAAAATTTTAGAAAGTAAATTTTTTTGAAAAATTTTATAGCGAATTAAGAAAAAAATTGAATTCTTTTGTTATATTTTTTTTAAAATAATTGTATTTTTGCAAAGATTTTATAACGAATTAAGAAAAAAAATTGAATTCTGTCGTGAAATTTTTTTTTTCAAAATAATTGTATTTTTGCAAAGATTTTATAACGAATTAAGAAAAAAATTGAATTCTTTCGCGAAATTTTCGTGAAAATAATTTAATTTTTACAAAGATTTTATTATTTTAAAAAAATAATTGAATTGTTTCGAAGGATTTATTAAAATTTTAGGAATAATAATAATAATGTTATTTATGAAAATAATTAAAGTCTTGTGAAGAATTTTATTAAAATTTTTTGAAATTAATAATTGAATTTTTTTTTAAAGTTTGAATTTGAGATTATTGAAAAACTTATATTTGAAAATAAAAAATTTGGTAACATTTGCTAAGTTTTATAATAATATTCTCATAAGTTATTGAATTTCAAAAGGTTTGAATTTGAAAATTTTAATTCCTATAGAAAAATTCGAATGATTAAATATTTATTTAGAAAAGAAGTTATTGATGTTTTCGAACAATTTTACAATATTAAAGAAATTCGTATAATCGTAACATTTTTTTGAATATCTAATAATTTTTTGAGTATCTAATAATTTTTTGAGTGAATCAAAATATTCTTCAGAGTCAGGAAAACAGTCAAAATTTTGTTTGGAAAGCAGGAAAAAGTTAGGGGAAAACAAAATTAAATTTTTGTGGCAACCCTGATATTGAAAAAATCAGTTTGTAATTTCTTTTCTTCATTTTCTTCATTTTTCTAAATCGACTAATTTTTCGCTTTTCCATGCTGCTTTAGGGAACATTTAAGCGCAGTGTAAGTTATTGCTTAAAAAAGAATTGTTGTGAGGAAATAGTGTTTCTAATTTCGAGATAATTAATTTTCTGTTTTGTCACAGGCTGTTGAATAAAGTACAATCCGAAGATCCCGCCTGGAAAGACAGTGGAATTGTTTTCATTACATCGGTAACAAGATTATTGGAGCGATTACTTGATTATCGCAGTGTCATCCAGGGTGATGAGAATCGAGACAAACGAATGTCCTGCACCGTCAATCTTTTGGTAATAATTTTTTTTTCCTTAAATATATAATTAGAATTCAATACTTTTTCAAGAATTTTTTTTCCATTTTTTCTATCTGTCGAAAAATTATTTGAAAGCAAAAAAGAATTTATTTTAAACGGAAAAAAAATATTTGTGACAAAAATAAACGATTCACACTTTTTACGTTTCAAATGAGCGTTAACTATTGTGTTAATTGCCTGAAACTAATTTCATAATGGCACGTGTCGTACGCGGAAAATGTTTATCCTCACTTGCAGTCTTGTTTGAGATTTCGTATATCAATCTTGTTTTTTTTTAATAAAGAAAAGAGAATAGAAAAATTTTGAAAAAAATGGGTATATTTATATTTTTTTTGCAGAATTTTTACAAAAATGAATTCAATCGAAAGGAAATGTATTTACGTTATATTTATAAACTTCATCAAATGCATTTGGAGGCGGAAAATTATACTGAGGCGGGATTCACGATGAAATTATATGCCGATCAATTGGGATGGGGATCGACAGTATTGCCATCGGATCTTGCACATTCACAACAACCAGAATGGCAACGAAAGGAGCTTCTCTATCATCAAATTATTCGTCATTTTGATCGTGGCAAATGTTGGGAGAAGGGAATACCACTGTGCAAGGAATTGGCAATTTTGTACGAGACTGTTCTTTATGATTACGCACAATTAAGTAAAATATTAAAGATGCAAGCACAATTTTTGGATAATATACTCACTCAACTGCGACCCGAACCGGAATATTTTCGTGTTGGTTTCTATGGATTGAGTTTTCCACTTTTCGTCCGGGTGAGTCGATCTTTCATAAATAAATAAATAAATATCTTAATTTAAACTAAAAATTTTTAGTTAAAGCAATTATTCAAAATTTCAGTTGATCATAAACTCGTCTTTACTCCTATTTTCATTTTTTTTTAATTTTGTCGCACCTTGTTCACGTTAATTTTTACCTGTTTTGTAAATTTTTTAAAAAATATTTTCGATCAAAAGTTTAGTTTCTAAAATATTTTATTAATTTATATTTTAATAAATCTTAATTGAATTGAATTTTTTGTTACAATTTCAGGCTTCGGATATTCTGACTTTTTCGTCTTTTTTCGACTGTTTGCAAAACATGATACTTTTTTCGACTTATTTTCAAAAATTGCGACTTTTTCGACTTTTCTTCCAAATTTTTAGTATAAAACGCAACTTATTTCGATTTTAATAGTGTGGAAAGTTTAACTATGGACAAATATTTTAAAATTTTATTTTTGAATAATTTTTGTAATTAAATTTTTGAAGTATACAATTAAAAAGATTTTGAATAATTAAAAATTTTTGAAATTTAATTGAAAATTTTTGAAATAATTGAATTCTCAAAAATTTTAATAAAAAATCTTCAAGTGTAAATTTAATAAAAATGAAAATTAATGAAAATTAGGTTATAAAAATTAATATTAAAGTATTTTTGAAAAAACTAATTCTCAGAATTTTTTCATTCTAATTTTTTAAAATTCAATTATTTTCAATATTTTTGATTACATATTTTCGAAAATTCAAATACATGCAAAAAATAACATTAACATTTTTTAGAATCATTTTCTTAACTTTTTGAAGAAAATATTCAAAATATTCAAAATTTTTAATTAAAATACTTCAAAAAATTAATTAATTTCTTTTAAACTATACAAAAAAATATTCTTTTTCGAAATTCAATTTTTTTCGAAAAATTACATTACAATATTTATAATTAACTAATTCTTCGAAGAATTTTATTATTTAGGAAAATAATTGAATTCTCGAAAAGAATTTTAATAAAATTTTAAAAAATTCTAATTAATTTCTTTTTAAAGAATTTCTTTGAATTTTTTTAAAGTAATGGAGTTTCTTTAATAATTTTAATTAAAAATTTTGAAAGTAATTGGATTTTCTAAATAATTTCTTTCAAGTTTTTAAAATAATTGTGTTGGTTAATAATTGAAATTAAACATTTAATTATTGAATTTTACTGATAGAAAATAATTGAATTCTTTTGAATTTTATAACGAATTAAGAAAAAAATTGAATTCTTTCGTGGAATTTTTTTTGAAAATAATTGAATTTTTGCAAAGACTTTTACTCTTTATAAATAAAATTGAATTATTGTTTCAAAGGATTTATTAAAATTTTAGAAAATAATTGAATTATTTTAAAAAATTTTATAATGAATTAAGAAAAAAATTGAATTTTTTCGTAAAATTTTTTTGAATATAATAGAATTTTTTCAAAGAAGATTAGATAGATAGATATTTATTTCCTTAATGCTACATGTTTACATGTTTTACATCCAATTTTTTCAAAGAAATTACTTTTTTAAAATTATAATTGCACTGTTTCAAAGGATTTATTAAAATTTTAGAAAAAAATTGAATTTTTTCGAAAAATAATTATTAAAATTTTTTTTTTAAATTGAATTCTTTCATGAAATTTTATTAAAATTGTATTAAAAATAATTTAATTTTTGCAAAGAATTTTTTTTTAAAAACCATTTTAAATGGTTAAAAATTGCATTGAAAGTAATTTAATTTTTATATAGAATTTTTTAAAAATATTTTGAGAATTATTGAATTATTTTTTAGAGAATTTATTTATTCATTTAATAATTTTTCTTTTTAAATATTTTCATTTTTAAAATTAATGTATTGAAAATTATCGAATTGTAGCAAAAAATTTGATAATAACAGAATTCCTTCGAAGAATTTTATTATTTAGGAAAATAATTGAATTCTCGTGTAGAATTTCGTTCAAATTTATGAAAATTCGAATTAAATTCTTTTTGAAGAATTTCTTTGAATTTTTTTAAAATAATTGAATTTTTGCAAAGAATTTTACTATTTATAAATATAATAGAATTTTTTCAAAGAATTTAGAAAAATTTTTAAAAATAATTGAATTGTTTCGAAGGATTATTAAAATTTTAGAAAATAATTGAATTTTTTCGAAAAATATTAATAAAAATTGACATCTTTCATTAAATTTTATTAAAATTGTATTAAAAATAATTGAATTTTTGCAAAGAATTTTACTATTTTTAAATAAAATTGAATTGTTTTGAAGAATTTATTAAAATTTTAGAAAATAATTAAATTCTTTTGAAATATTTTATAACGAATTAAGAAAAAAAAAGTGGAATTCTTCCGTGAATTTTTTTGAAAAAAATTGAATTTTTTCAAAGACTTTACTATTTAAAAAAATAATAAATTAAATCGTTTCAAAGGATTATTAAAATTTCAGAAAATAATTGTATTCGTTCGTAAAATGTTATTAAAATATTGTTTTAAAATAATTGAATTTTTGTAAAAAATTGTACTACTTATAAGTTATAAAAATAATTAAATTCTTACGAACAATGTTATTATTTATAAAAATAATTGAAATTAATAATATAATAATGACTCTATCACTCGGTTTTCAACACATAATAATTGAAATTCTTGAGAAGAATTTTATTTAAATTTTTGAAAGTAATAAACAAGAATAATTAATTAGTAAATTAGTTAATAATTGAATTTTTTTAAAGTTTGAATCTGAAATTATTCAAAAATTCATATTTAAAAATAGAAAATTTTCTAATTTACATAATAATAATAAATTAAATGCCACGTTCCGTAACATTTGCTAGTTATTATTATAATAACTATAATAATTAGTTTTTATCTTATTTAATCTTATTTATTAATTTACGTTAATAAAGTTAGAATTATCGCATTCTTACTAATTTATTAGAAAAAGGTTTTAATATTACTATTTCATTATAATCAAACATTTAGTTACTAATTCTTTTAGTAAAATATTTACTAATTTAGATTTAGAGAGTAAATTTTGTTAATTTAAATATTTAGAACTTAAGGTCTAATTAAAATAAAATTAAAATGCTTTTTATTTTAATCTTTTAATTTCAAGAAAAAAAATTTAATACAAATCGCAGTAAATACAAATTACTTATTTTGGATATAAATTTATCGTACGTGATTTTTATTATCACTTCTTTGTCACCTATTTTTAGAAAATTTGTCACCTATTTAAAAAAAAAATTCTGTCATCTCTGAAATTTTAATAAAGATTAAAGTATTAATGCAACTTTTTTACTAGTGGAACTAAAATTATTAATTTAATAGAAAAATAAATACCTATTCAATACAAATTTTGATTTAATTTATTTTTTTATTTCAGAATAAACTATTTATTTATCGAGGATTGGAATATGAAAGAATAGGAGCATTTACGCAGCGACTCCAGACCGAATTTCCCAGTGCACAAATTTTAATGAAAAATTCGCCGCCTGACGAGAGTATCCTTACCTCCGAAGGACAATGTAAGTTAATATTTAAGTTATATTTTTTCATTTTAATTATTTTTTTTCTTTTTTTCATTACAGATATTCAAATTTGCAACGTGAAACCAATTCCAGAGGAAGGTAGTTTGGGCTCAGGTGCAATTGATGTTCCCGATCGTGTAATTGCATTTTATCTTGTAAATGATGTGAGAAAATTTACATTTGATCGACCTATGCATCGCGGTCAAGTTGATCGTGAAAATGAATTTAAATCACTTTGGATTGAGCGCACAACACTGATGACTGAAGCAAAATTACCCGGAATTCTACCATGGTTCGAAGTTATTGACAAGCGCTCTGAACTCTTGGCTCCAGTGCAATATGCATGCGAGACAATGCAAAGTGTTGAACGTGAATTGAGACGATTAATTGTCCAATATACTGCCGAGCCGAAGAAGAATATCAATCCATTCAGTATGCGATTGCAGGGAATTATTGACGCCAATGTAATGGGTGGTATCACGAAATATCAAGAGGCATTTTTAACAACTGAATTCGCAAGGCAAAATCCCGACATGGTGCCGCACGTTAATAAATTGAAAAATTTAATTCTCGATCAAATGAGCGTTTTGGAATCTGGTTTACAACTTCATGGTGAAATTGCACCGTCTGGCGTGCAACCGTTGCATAAACGATTAATTGAGAGATTCACTCAATTAAAACGAAGTTTGGGACCATTGACCAGACAGCGATTACTGCATCAAGACAGCATTATAAAGTGAGTTCTTTTTGTTTATAGGAAAATGGAGTACATCTTAATTTATAGAAAAGTTGAAATTATTTTCATAATTTAATGAAAATCAGGGTTGCCACAGGTCAGGGAAAAGACAGGGAAAGTACAATAATAATTGTTCAGGGAAGTCAGGAAAGTTTATCAAAAGTACTGGAAAGTACTTTTCTAAGTAAAAATCCATTTCTAGAATTCATAAGAAAAATTTGAATTTTGTTGTCCAGCAGCTTTTTTTAAAAAAAAAAGAAGAAAATATTCAATTTAATTTCTATTTATAACAATAATTGAACTTTAGAGATTTGAATTGAAGATTATTTAAAAATTTTGTTAAATACATTAATTAATTAATTAATTAATTTTGTTAATTACATAATTTCTATTTTTCATTGAAATTTTTTAACGAAATCTCAAGTATTTTTCTTAAAGAATTAAAGAATTTTCGTAAATTTTATTTTTTTTATTTTTTCTTTTACAAAAATTGAATATTGTTAGGAAAAATATTTTTTGAAAATTACCTTTATTAGAAAAAGAAATTTCTAGAAAATGACTTTTATTAGAAGAAAGAAAATTGATTTAAAAATGAATTAATTAAAATTTTAGATAATAATTAAATATTAAAAGCAATATACACAGAAAAAAATATTCACCTGGAACATTTATAAATTTTACTAGATTAGCCAAATTTTTAGTTGTTTCAGTTAAGAGTTTCGCTATTCTAGAGAAACTTATCGCTGTTCCAGATAAACTTTTTTTTCCGTCGAGCGTGAATTTTTAGAAATAATTGAATTTTTGAAATTAATTTTTTTGAAAAAGTTTAATTGAATTTTTTTCTACATTATTTGAATAGTTTTTATTTTCTACTTTATATTTAATTGGAGAATTTAGGAATAATTGAAATTTCGTAAAATTGAATATTGTAAAGAAATGAAGTTGAGAATTTGTCAAAGAACTTTTTCGAAAATTATTAAAAATAATTGATTTAGAAGAATTTTAGTTAGAAATTCTTGGAAATAATAATTGAATTGAAATGATGGAAATAATTTTGAAGGAGTAGAATATTTTTATAATATAAAATAATGATTTTATCACTGGGCCATTTTTAATTATTATAAAACATGAAGAAATTTAATTTACACTTTCTTTTGTGTATCTAATTATTATTAGAGTGAATTAAAATATTCGTTCAGGGTCAGAAATAAAATCAAATTTTTGTGACAACCCTGAAAATTTAATAAAACTGAATGAATTACAATGATACAATTAATGAAATTTGAATTAATAATTATTTTTAATGTTCTCCTATTAGTTCCCCTTTGCCTCCGCTTCCGATTGGCGATAAGCATCCAGTGACGTTGGATACAGTGGGTTGTCGAATGTCACACACAGAGATTGACGGAATGCTCGAGGACGAAGGATTTTACACGAAGGTTGATGTCTTTGGTCAGAATCAAACCCCGCCACCGATTCCACAGAGGGAAGTTCGACCCCGATCGGTGGGTTATGGAACAACTCCACCGAGACCAACGCACCAGAGGACTCACAGTAAACCCTTGAGTCCAAAATTGCCACTGAGACATTCGCTGCCAACTCCAACTGACAGTGGTGATCAGACAAATGTGAGAACCTCCTGGAGTGAATCAGGATCCGAACCAGCGCCACCACTTCCTCCAAGAAGCTGCAGTAAGTAATAATTAATTGGCAAATTTTTTTCCCTATAAAACAATTAAAATTTTCTTTCTAATAACTAAAATATAAAAAACAAATATTTAAAGTTTTGATTAAAAATACTTTAAAAATTAAATTCAATTCAATTTAAAAATTAAAAATTCTTATTATTAAAAAAATAAATTTTGTCATCAGCTTTGGATAAGAGAGATTCGATAGCGAGTTCAATTGGACCGCCAGCGCCGCCAAAACGACCAATACAAAAACGTAGCACAGAATGGAGCGTTGAGGATGATTCCGATCAGCAAAGCGAAACTAATGACTTACGAGACAGTGGAATTTCGACCGCGAGTCTCTTGGATTTTAATCCACAATTAACACATTTAAATAATCTTAGTTACGAAGACTTTGTACCACGAACCAAATGCAACGAGATAATGAATATTTCACCACCTTCTGTGATAAACGCTTTAAATACTACTTGTACAAGTAACAATTTTCCTAGTGGTACATTCCATGGTTCCCAAATTCTTCCCGATGAAGAGGTAAAGTATTTTTAATTGCACAAATTTTTCTATAGGGTTGCCACAAAAAAAAAGTTTTTCCTTTTTTTGAATATTTTGAAATTGAAATTTTTTACTTAATAAGTGAATTTTTTAAATTTTGATTATGAAATTATTTTGAAAATATATATTTGAAAATAAAAAGTTTTCTAATTTGCATAACAATAATAAATAGAAAATCACGTTTCGCGCGCTAGCGGGCGTAACATTTGCTAGATTTTAATATTTTCAAAGATTGCTGGATCCTAAAAATCAGTTTTTTTTAACAATTCTAGAAATTTAATACTTTTTCCAATAACTTTTGATATAATTCTCTGACGTGTCTTTGATTTCTTTAATCTGTGGCAACCAAAATATTTTTTTATGAAATAATAATTTTGATTTTGAAAATAAAAATTTATTATTATAATTTTTAAGGTGAGTCCTCCGCCGATACCTCCAAAAGCGAATCAAGACGTTCCCTCAGCGCCCACAACATTGGAAAGGGTTTCTAATCGAACATCGAATTCAAGTCATGTGGAAAATTATTCGGTGCCAAAATTACAAACACTTTCTGTGGCATCAGATACGGAAAGTACCGTATAGCATCCTAGTCTTTATAAAATTAGTTTATAGCCGTCATATATATTATATATACGTAAACGCATTAGGCATTGAATCTTTTTTGATTGCGATTGTTTAGTCAATTAATTATTGTTTATTATTATAAACAAAGAGAATGTTTTTTTTTACGGGAAAAAAAGTCTACAGCCAAAGCGCAATCAAATTAGTTTTGATGAAATATAAATATATAAAAATATATATTATATATTAAAAAAAAAGTCGAATGATTTTTACGCGTCCCAAATAAAAATCAGCGAATATTATATCTGATAATGAAATAAATCGAAACATATATTCCTCCCCCCGACAACATGCAATCATTGTATATCAATTTTTACATCTCTCTTTTTCTATTTTAATGCGGAAATTTGATAAATTATCGCATTGAAATAGAGACAGCACTCTTTTAATCTATTGTAATTTATTTTTCAAAATAAGAATAAAAAAAGTCATTTTTATTAACGATGTGTAAACGGAGAAATAGGCGCCAATTAATTGATAATTCGAAAAATAAGCCATATATATATATAAAGAATGAAAATCGGTATTTTATATTTAAAAAGGAAAGACCATTTTCAAGGTATATAAATTATTTGTATTTTTTCGAATTTCTTCGTATATAAATATATACAAAAAGATTTTTTTTTGAGTATTACATGACACTTATTATAAGTTTCGTTCTTTTTTTCTCCCTTTCTTTTACGAATTTGCTTGGCATGTAAAAAGAAGTGGAAAAATATAAAAATCTAAATAATTAAAAAGAAGATCACTGGGAATGTAGACATTGCACAGTACTAAATTATAAAAGTAAGGTACAAAGTTTTACAATATTTAAGTACACAGGACGAAATGAGCTAGAGATCAATGAGTTTTACGCACCGGAATTCGTTTTTTAAACAATTGTCTTTCAGTCGAGAATTTCATTGCAAATAATTAATACTTATAAATATAGTTGATCGAAACTGAATTGTTTGTTTTCTTTTTTTATATATAAGAGAAAAAGAATCATTCAGTCTTATCAATTTACTTACACACATCATACATACTTTTTTTTACCTACAGTGTGCAGACAATTGCCAACGAATCCGGTTATTTCTAAATGAGCTTTAAAAAAAATTCATGTTTCGCTAAATATTAATTAATATCGAAGTAAATATTATTAAGCATTTTGCGAAGATAATACAAATAGGCACTCACACATATAATTTTTTTTTGCTAATCAATATGGCTACGCGTTTTAAGCACAATGGCCACTGCCTAAAATATATATTTATATTTAGTTACTAAAAACTTTAATTCGCTTCTTGTAAAATGGATACTCTAAAATATTTCTTTGTACGACTTTTTTTTTTGTTTTTTGTAGGTGAAGATTGTCAAACGGACGTTTCAGCATTAATATCCTTCCTGAAATAAAAGAAACATTTTTTTTTATGAATTTTTCACTCGGTTGGAAAATTTGCAAAATATATAGTTCTTCTGTGAAAGTGTTTTTTTTTTTAATTTTAAAGTTCAAAAATATTTATTTTATTGATTTCAGTTAAAAACTATAAATATTTATTAAAATAAAAATAAATTTATTTAAGGTATTAAATTTATTATTTTTAAAATCATTAAATTGGTTTATTATAAAATATTTTCAAATTTTGAGAAAATAAAAATTTCACAGTGAACATATTCTATGGAATTAAAAAAGAAATCGTACCTCTTCACTGAAGCGTCATCATTTGTTGAGGAAAGCAGAATATAGAAAAGACACTACAATTAGTTAAGAACGTTCCAACACCATCTAATATCAAACCAAAAATATATCCAAAACCAAAGAAATATTATCAAAAGGTATTAAAAAATGCTTTACAACCAAAAAATTCACCAAATTCAATTAGTAAAGGTTATTTATTTCTTTAGTAATGTAACGAAAATTTCAGTAACTTGAATTACTTTTATTTTGATGGTTCAATTAATTTTTTTAAGAAGCCTTGTACGGTTGCTTTTATTTTATTATTTTATTATTATTGTAAAATTTCATATCAGGCCTCGAATCAACTTTATTCGTGTTGTTGAAAAATTTAAATTTCTATTTCCCTCAATTACAGAAAACTCTTTTTCCTTGTCCCAATAATAACTTTAATTCTAAGTTTTCATTAAATTTTATTAAAATTGTATTAAAAATAATTGAATTTTTTCAAAGAATTTTACTATTTAGAAACATAATAGAATTTTTTCGAAGAATTTATTAAATATGTAGAAAATAATTGAATTGTGTTGAAAAATTTTTTATAACGAATTAAGAAAAAAAAATTGAATTCTTTCGTGAAATTTTGTTGAAAATAATTGAATTCTTGCAAAGATTTTTTTGAAAATAATTTAAGTTTTGCAAAGATTTTACTTTTTGAAAAAGTAATTGAATTGTTTCGAAGGATTATTAAAAATTTAGAAAATAATTGAATTTTTTTTTAAACATTTGTTTAAAAATTGAATTCTTTTATGAACTTTTATTAAAATTGGATTAAAAATAATTGAATTTTTGCAAAGAATTTTACTATTTAGAAATATAATTGAATTTTTTCGAAGAATTTATTAAAATTTTAGAAAATAATTAAATTCTTTTGAAATCTTTTATAACGAATTAAGATAAAAATTGAACTCTTTCGTGAAATTTTATTGTTTTGAATATAATTGAATTTTTGCAAAGATTTTACTATTTAAAAAAATAATTGAATTTTTTCGAAAAATTTATTAAAATTTTAGAAAATAATTGCATTCTATTGAAATTTCTTATAACGAATTAAGAAAAAAATTGAATTCTTTCGTGAAATTTTTTGAAAATAATTGAATTTTTGCAAAGATTTTATTATTTACAAAAATAATAGAATTGTTTCGAAGGATTATTAAAAGTTTAGAAAATAAATATTGAATTTTTTTTTTTAAATTTGTTTAAAAATTGAATTCTTTCATGAAATTTTATTAAAATTGGATTAAAAATAATTGAATTTTTGCAAAGAATTTTACTAATTTTAGAAATATAATTGAATTTTTTCGAAGAATTTATTAAAATTTTAGAAAATAATTGAATTCTATTGAAATTTTCTATAACGAATTAAGATAAAAATTGAACTTTTTTGTGAAATTGTTTCGAATATAATTGAATTTTTCGCAAAGAAATGTACTATTTATAAATATAATTAAATTGTTTCGAAGAATTTAATGAAATTTTAGAAAATAATTGTATTCGTTCGTAAAAAGTTATTAAAATTTTCTTTAAAAATAATGGATTTTTTGCAAAGAATTTTACTATTTAGAAATATAATTGAATTTTTTCGAAGAATTTATTAAAATTTTAGAAAATAATTGAATTATATTGAAATTTTTTATAACGAATTAAGAAAAAAATCGAATTCTTTCGTGAAATTTTTTAGAAAATAATTAAATTTTTTTAAAAAATTCGAATTCTTTCATGAAATTTTATTAAAATTGTATTAAAAATAATTGAATTTTTTCGAAGAATTTATTAAAAGTTTGGAAAATAATTGAATTCTATTGTAATTTTTTATAACGAATTAAGAAAAAAATTGAATTCTTTCGTGAAAATTTTTTTTTTGAAAATATAATTGAATTTCTGCAAAGATTTTACTATTTAAAAAAATAATTGAATTCTTTCGTAAAATTTTCTTGATAATAATTAAATTTTTTAAAAAAATTTGTTTAAAAATTGAATTCTTTCATGAACTTTTATTAAAATTGTATTAAAAATAATTAATTTTTTTGCACAGAATTTTACTATTTAGAAATATAATTGAATTTTTTCGAAGAATTTATTAAATTTTAGAAAATAGTTGAATTCTATTGTAATTCTTTATAACGAATTAAGAAAATAATTGAATTATTATTAAAATTTTGTTTAAAAATAATTGAGTTTTTGTAAAAAAATTTACTATTTATAAAAATAATTGAATTCTTATGAAGAATGTTATTATTACTATTATTCCGCGTGAAAACTTGCTAGTTTTTAATACATTTTAGAAAGTTAATCGAGAATTCAATTTTTTTAATACAAAAATTCAAGTATTTTATAAAAACTGCAAACTATAACTCTTCCTAATTTTTCTTAAATTTTCAAAAGTCAAAATGAAAATTCAAATCAATTTATGATTTTTTATAGTTCTACATTTTTATTATTATTATATTTATTATATTTCTAAAAACAAATTTTCTAACATGTTTTGATTTCTAAACTTTATTTTTTTTTTAAATTTGTAAAAGTCTTACATTTTTCTAAAAGTATCATTATTTTCATTATTTTATTTACAAGTATTTTTAAATAAATTTTTTACCAAAGATTAATGTTTGTGACATAAGTCGGATTTTTTGAAAAATATTCGAAAAAAGTCATAATTTCCGAGACCTGCTCAATTGAATAAAACTTACTGGGTTTATTTTTAAATTAACTAATTAACTAATAGTTAATAACTAATCGTCATTTTTAGTTTCTTTTACCTAGTTACTTCTAAAAATAAATCATTTTATTATTTTTATCACTATTATTATTTATCGTCACCATTTTGATTATTGTTATTATTATTTGTTATTATTACTACTTATTGTTATTTAATTATTTTTAATATCTATTAATCGTTACTGTTATTTTTATTATTATCTATTTTAGTGATTATGTATTATTATATTATTATTATAATTATTATTTGAAAGATTACTCACTCTGCCTCGGCGATAGTTTGTTCATACTCTGGTTGCTGATGTTCTCTGAGAGCGGCCAATTCATTGCTATATTGCAAATCGTGAGTGAGAGAACTGGCCAATATTCTATCGCTCATTGGCAAAATATATTCCGGTGTACCCTCCAATACTGTTGGCGTAATTTTTCCTCTCTTTAAACTTCCATATCTATCGGTACCATTCAAATTATCGTGCTGTGAACCATGTAAACTTTGTCCCCTCTTTAAACTACCATACCTCTCGGAACCGCTCACATTCTCATGATTTGAATTTTGTGAATGATGACTCATACTTGAATTTAATATTCGCGATGACATGGATAATAAATATGGCGTTGGCGACACGGTATGATCTTCTTCGGCAGTATAAGGAAAGAGATATTTTTCACCGAGATGATGTAATTTCTCCTCAACCTCGGAACAATTCTCGTCCATCTGATGATTCTTCATAGGCGAATTCATATCAGGATAAGGCAACGGATTTGGACTTGACGTTTTATTAGAGGCTATTTCGTTGTCCGATATTGTACCACCAGACCATTGACTTCCGCGGATATCAACTGTTTTAAATAATTAGAATTAAAATTACTATAATTAGAAATTAATTATTCAGGATTGACACAAAAAATTATTTTCTTTTTCCCTGATATTAGTAGAAATAAGATAGAAAAATATAAATTACCGTTTGATGGCAAATATGCTTCGGGTAGTTGCGAACTCCACCTCGGGGCATAAATTGGCTTGATATTAGGGAAAAGTTCTGTATTTGAACAGATAATGTTCAAATGATCAGTGGCAGTGTTGTGAATATTCGGAAGATAGCTGTGCGTTACGGGTTGTTGCGTTGAGACGCCCATATTTTTGTGCGATTTTGAAGTGACATCCTCATCGTCCGAACTGTGTGAACTCGCTAAATCTAGACTTCTGCCGCCTGCATCAGCTTGTGAACCATCGGAATCGGATTCCGAGTCTCTGCGTTGATCGCCACCTTCTGGAAATTAAAGAATACTTTTATAATTGAATCTAAAAAGTCTTCTTTATAATCGTTAGCAAAAAAATTGATAGAGTAATTAAATAAAATATAGAAGTAATAATTTAATTTCGATAACATTACCTTGTCTAGAGTGTAAATTTGAATGCTGACCACCCCTGGACGACGCATAAGGATCACGATCACTATTGTAATTACTGGTGGATGTCGATGTATGACGAAGATGTGCGTCACTTCGATAAGGACTCGAACCAGTTTTATTTGTACTTCTCGATGTTGTACTGCTCGTTGAAACTCCAACGTGAACTCTTCTGCACACGGACTCCGTTCCGCTGTACGCTGACGAATACGCCAATGCAGATCGCTGTAAAATTAAAAAAAATTTAATTTCAAAAATTAAAAATAAATATCTAAATCAAAATTAAAAACTATGAAGATCTACTAAGTTGACACAAGAATTAGATTTTATTTTTCCCTGATTTCCAGACAGAACTTTCAATTTTTCCCTGATCTCCATAAAAAAAATTCAAAGGAAGTTCAAATAAAAAATAAAATATTTAGAAGTAAAAATTTATAATTAAATAATTTTGAATTCTTTTGGAAAATTTTATTAAAATAGTAGATATTGAAAATCATTGAATTGAGGAAAATGCATTTTATTTTTGAAAATAATTGAAATTTTGCCAAGAAATTATAATTATTAACTTTATGAAAGTTATTTTTAAATTTAATAATTTTGAAAAAATTTAATCATTTTAAAAATTTGAATTGTTTTAAAATTTTTAAATAAAAAAATATTAAATAACAAAAATGTGAACTAGAAAAGAAAATTAAAAGAAGTAAATTAAAAGAATATCTTACCGAATGACTATTTACATTCTGATTGCTACTTGCATTTCCCATACTCCCCTCAAGAAGAGGAGTTTTCTTTCCTAAACATCTCAGGATACTTAGATACAAATTTCTTCTAACACGGCCATTGATAAAACAATAGCCAATTAGACTAAAGGCAGCGTGAATGACAATGGCAATGCTGAGTACATAGGACAATGTAGGCGAGTTTTCCGAGGCACTGAGAACAGCCAGGGTCCAAGTGGCACCTAGCAATGGCAGTGAGGCGACCGACAACCACAACAGAGTTCTTAGATTGCCAAATCCCAAAATATGTTCCTTCAGCGTAAACGCCGCGCGAACGGACATTATCAGTATACAGAAATTTAGGAAAATCGCTATACAAATTGGACCAATCATCGCCCAAATCACTGTTTCATAAACCGAGAGCCAGCAACTGGAAAAAAAAACGTAAAATGAAATTTTGCCAAGAATTTTATTAAAATTTTTGTAAATAATTGAATTTTGAAGAAGAATTTTTTTATTTATAAAGATAATAATTGGGATTTTGTCAAGATTTTTTTTTAAAATTTTAAACATAATTATAAATTTTGTGATAAGAATTTTATTACTTTTGAAAATAATCATTGAATTTCTGCAATAATTTGTAAATTCTTGAAAATTCAATTTTTTAGTGCTTTTAACTAAAATTCTTCTATAAATCCATTATTTTTAATAATTAATTAATATTTTTAAAAAATCTAAGTTCATTATTTCTAATATAAATTTATTCAACATTGAATGTTATAAAATTTCAAATTGAAACCGTTTGAAAGTTCATTTATTTATGCAAATTGTAAACGCAACTCTTTTAAAATTAAATTAATTAAAGGTTTTGTATTAGAATTCGTGGTAATTTTATAGTTGAATATTTATAGTTGAGTATTATGACTCAAACAAGAAAGACACAAAAATTCAGAATTTTTCTTATGAATTCTAAAAATTTAATTTTTCCAGAACTTTTAATAAAAATTCCTAATTTGGAAAACATTATTATATTATATTAATTAACTAATATCAACTACTGCAATTATTTGTTATAAAAAATATTTCTTCAACATACAAGTAAAAGTTTCCATATTGATCGGCCCGCACTCCAATGCTCAGTCCAACGATAATTGCTGGAAATCCATAGCCCATTGTATAGTAAAATCTCATTTGTCCATGATTCACATCCCTCATTTCGGTCAGCATTCGATACAAATGAATAGAATCAACTAAAGTCCAAGCGAATGCGCTAAGCCATGTGTAATGTAATCCAATGGCAATAAGTTTACAGGGGAATTCATTTGCAATCAATGGATTCCTCGCCTTCAATGCAATTAAATATAATAATTCAGCGAGAAATACGCAAAATACTAAATTCTTGTGAATACTATTTGAATTCGTTGCAGTTCCTCGTATCAATGCTAAAATAAGTAATGCTGACAATAATAATGGCAGTGCGAGCATAAAAGCACTGTAACTCGTCACATCCTCGAGTAATGATGGTTCTGGCACATATTCGAGATCTAAAACATCAGTCAATACCGCGAATGTCGATAGAGTGACACATGAGCAATTCACCATTCGTCCCTCTTTTATATTTGTATCGTCCATTTCGGTTGTGCAACCCATTCGACTCCATTCGCCGAAGCTGGAAAAACAGGGAAGAAATTAGTATTTCTTCATATTGAACTACTTTTAATTTATAATTACTAACTTTTCGATAATATTACTTTCCGTTTAATTAAATAAAGAATTTTTATAATTCTATTTATTTCTTTTAGAAAAAAAAATAAAATCTAATTCTGAAAATGAAATCTGAATGAATAAATAAAAATTTTACCCTCTTGCTGTACTCCAATGTACGCATTGTGGATTTGTACGTCTTTTTGAGCCGTCATCTTCGCTGAGCCACAAACGAACTTGAACTGGTGATTGAAGGGGCACTCCGCTCAAAGATTTATATCCACTTTCCGAAGGAATTAAAACTGATACGGTGATAATTGGAGAACCAACAGCCACTTCAACACCCCATCTGACTGTCACCGAATCATCGAATCTAGAAATATTCATCAAGTACTTTGCGGTATTTAAACAAAAGAAAATGAACCAATTAATTATGAAAATAATTTAAATTTCCCTAAAAATATAATTTAAATTTTTGAAAATAATGACAGGGATCGAACTAGTGAAAGTATTTCAAAATACGAACTTTACGGACCAAAATTGAAAAATTATGGACCAATTACTGATAACAATAAAATCAGTCCAAGTCAAATAAGAAAACATTTTACTTAAAACTATAAATTAAATTTATAACTATAAAACATGAAGGTATCGATAAATCCGAGTCTTCGACTCGGAATGATCGATTTCTTCATGTTTTATTAATAATTATAAAGATGACTGAGTGATAAAATCGTTATCAATTCAATTATTATTTTCAAGAATACAAATGTTTAAAATATTCAATTTTACGAAATTTTAATTATTCGTAAATTATTTAATTAAATTTATTTTAGAAAATAAAAAATTAAAGTAAAATTAAAAAAATAAATTAAAATTTTTCAAAAAAAATTAATTTCAAAATTCAATTATTTCTAAAAATTGACGCTATAATTGAATTCTTTTCAAATTTTTAAGAATAATTATACGTTCTTCGAGAAATTTGATTAAAATTGCAATTAAAATAAATGAAATTCAGCCACGAATTTTATTATTTTTGAAAATAATTGAATTTCGAAGAAAAATTTTATTCTTTATAAAAATAATTGAAATTTTAAATAAATAAAAATAATTAAATTCTTTCGACCAATTTTAATCAAATTTTTAAGAATAATTACGTTTTTTGAGGAATTCGATTAAAATTGAATTAAAAATAATTTAAATTCTGCGATGAGTTTTATTATTTATGAAAATAATTGAATTCCTAAAAAGAATTTAATTATTTACGAAATAATTGAATCCCTGTAAAAATTTTTTTACTATTGAAAATAATTGAATTTCTGCAATAATTTGTAACTTTTCCAAAATTATATTGTTTTTTCGTATTTTTAACTAAAATTCTTCTATAAATGCATTATTTTTAATCATTTTTGAAAAAATTCTTTAAGAATTTTCTAATTTATTTGTTTACAATTCAATTTTACAAAAATTTCAATTATTCGTAAATTCTCCAATTATTTACATACAAAAAAAACAATTTATTGAATAATTGCTTATATTTTTAAAATTGAATTCTCATAGAGACTTTTATCAATAAATTTTGAAGAATAATTTCATTTTTCGAGAAATTTGATGAAAATCGTATTGAACATAATTGAATTCAGCCACGAATTTTATTCAAATTTTTGAAAATAATTGAATTTCGGAAAAAAATTTTATTATTTATAAAGATAATTGAAATTTTGACGAGAATTTTTGTAATTTTTGTGGAACATAATTGGAATTCTGCCACGAATTTTATTAAAATTTTTTTTCAAACAATTGAATTCTTTTGTAAAATGTTATTGAAATAATAGATATTGAAAATAATTGAATATTGACAAATTTTTGAAATTAATTAAATTTATACGAAGATGGATTTTATTGAAATTATTATAAAAAAAATTGAATTGTCACAAAGAATTTCATTAAAATTTTGGAAAATAATTTAATTCTTTGGAGAAATTTAATTAAAAATGTATTGAAAATAATTCTGAAATTCTAATAAATAAATTGTAGCAAAGGTTTTTAAAATAATTGAATTTCTTTAATAAATTTTACTAAAATTTTTAAGAATAATTACATTTTTTGAGGAATTCCATTAAAATTGTATTGAAAATAATTCTTCTATAAATCCAATATGTTTAATTCATTATTTATTTATTTAAATACAAAAGTAAATAATTTATTGAAAAAATTGCATGTTTCTTAAAATTGAATTCTCATAAAGATTTTTATCAATAAATTTTTAAATAATTGAATTCTTTTGACGAATTCTAATAAACTTTTTAAGAATAATTACTTTTTTCGAGGAATTCGATTAAAATTGTATGAAAAATAATTGAAATTCTACAATGAGTTTTATTATTTATGAAAATAATTGAATTTCTAAAAAGAATTTAATTATTTACGAAAATAATTGAAAGATTGCGAAGAAATTTATATAAAATTTGTAAATAATTGAATTCATGTGAAATTTTTATTACTTTATGAAAATAATAAATTTAATAAATTAAAGGCTGGCGTAAAATTTCATTAAATTTGTTTTAAATAATTGAATTCTTTTGGGAAATTTTATCAAAATAGTAGATATTAAAAATCATTGAACTAAGGAAAATTTTTGAAATTTTGCCAAGAAATTTATAAAAACTTTTGAAAATAATTGAATTTCAGCGAAAAATTTTATTACTTTTGAAAATAATTGAATTTCTGCAATCATTTGTAATTTCTGACCTTTTCTGACTTTTACGGACTTGAAGCAAATTTACGGAGCTTTACGTGATTTACGGACCTAGTTCAAGCCCTGTCATTAAATTTTTTCGAGAAATTTATTTAAAATTGTATTTAAAATATTTAAATTCTCATATAAAGAATTTAATCAAAATTAATGATCAATCTTAAAATTTTTCAAAATAATTGAATTAAAATGAATTTCAGCGACAGAGTGAGTAAAAAGTTTAATATTATTAAACTTGAAGCTAAAATTAAAAAAGGAAAATAAAATGTGAATATTTAAAATTGAATAATTCTTAAAAATTCAAGATTTAAAAAATAGTCGAAGCAAATAAATTACTTAAAGCGGTGACAACTGTTAAATTAAAAAAAGTTACCTGCGAGGCAAAAGTGCTCCCAATTCTCGATACTGAACATAACTCAAGATCGCCTTTCCTCCATTCAAACTATTTTTCACATTGAGATCACCATGATCAACAGTCTTGATTCCCAATAATTTCACCGGCACATGAACTTTTGTGTAAGGATCGAACTTTTTCGGATCGGCCATATAATTGTTGTACTTTGGAAAGCTGACCGATTGACCGAGATGATTTGGTGACGTTAGAAAAGCGGATGTATCCGGCAGTACAACTTTTTTATCAGCATCAAATGGTCTTGGTGTTGAGACCGTTAGATCTTCTTTGTACTCCATTGCCTCGAAACCGTACAAACTCTCCGATGTAATAACATCCAAACCGAGAACTGCAAATTTAGACAAACGATCAGAAAATTTAAACAATTTCAAATAAATGGATTTAAGAAACAATTATTAAATTAAAAATTATTAAGAATATTTTCTATATTTCTTACCGACATTCGAATCGACGACTTCGAAGGGACTCGTGAATGTATCTTGCTGGGAAGTTGTCAAAGTTTTCAAATAATTATCCATCGCTTCTAAAATAGTGTCTGGACCCATTTTCGTCAGGGATTCAATTCTGCTCCAACTTTCAAGATGTTTTTCTTTCAAAACTTCGCCGGCAATGCTGATTAAGTGGAAAACGTAATCCTTATCTTGACTGTGAGTTAAATTCAAACCGTGTAGACTTTCCTCGTAACGTAACAACATTGTTAGTAGTGATTCAGCAACCAATATATCAGCTCCATACATATTTTTCGTGACACTCATGGCGTGATGCAAATCATTTGCGGTTTGTATAGCCTCATAGGTATTCAGTACCTTCAATTTAGCCTCAAGGTCCGATAATTTTTCCCGTTGTTTGATAAAAGCTTCAGAGGTGCAATTGAATAAATCCGGTGGTTGCCAACTGGTAAGTTCATCATCACATGATCGAGAAGCTTTACCAATCGCCTTTCCCGGACACGATGCCAAGGCAGTTGAACCAAAATCAGTTCGATTCCACCAGAGTCCTTGGGAATAGGATCTCGGACAACCAGTGTAGACAACTTGACAACCTTCTAAAGTGACTTCGGCCAAAGTTGTAGGACAAGCCGTGCACGATCTTCCACTGACTCCCGGTCGACATGGACACTGTCCATTTTCACTATCACAACGGGGCGTGAAACTTCCGGTTAGATAACAATCACAAGGAATACATTCGTCTTGACCTGGTAATTGATAATGATTCTCTTTACAGTAGCATTCGCCGGTTGTTTTATTGCAAGACGGATCGTAGCCCCTTGACTCGTCACAATGACACGGACCGCAAACCGGAGAACCCCACCAATTCGACGGACATGGCTGATCAGCTTTCATCTCACAATACTCACCGGAATATTCCTCCGATTTACATTCACACTTATAACCCTTTTCGGTGTAAAAATCCTCCACACACGTTCCAGAGTCACTGCAAGGATTCACGTCACAAACACGTTCGCAATTTTGACCCACGTGTCCTTTGCCACATTCGCAAACACTCGTCTCCCATTTTTTGACACAAATCGCCGTTTCGGGACAATCAACACGACATTCCTGTTCACTCCCACAGCCGTTGTAAACATTTCTCTCTATTGTTGGTTCCTGGAGGATCGTCTGATTCGTACCAATCCGCACATCCTGAATACATCCACTAAAGAATGCCAAATCCGTCGACACAGTATCGTCCACACCGCCTATGAGAATTTTCCCAATGTACAATCCTTGCAATTTAGCAAGCAATGAGGCAATAAGGGGCCGATTACGATAATCAATATCCAGAGACACTTGTCCACTTTGCCAGATAACGTCAAGTCGATGCCACTCCCCATCGGCGATATTGATCCAAGTTCTTATAATCTCGGTCCCGTCGAGGTTCACCAGCACCCTACCGTCCTTGATCTCAAACACCGTCGAACTATTCTGCCCGATTTGGACACTCATCAGAAAAGTGTTTTGCTCCCGCGTTCGAATGCTGAACCCAGTAATCCAAGGCAATTGTATCAACCGCAAAAGGGGATTGAAACTCAACAGCCCATCGCCTTGGAAACGCCACGGTTTGATAACGGAGTCACTGCACTGCGAACCGCTGAAGCCTTCCTCGCACTCGCAGACATATCCAGACCAGACCTCCCGACACTTACCCCCGTGATAGCAAGGCGTCGATTCACAAAAAGCCCGCTTCTCAGGACAACCGCTCGTTGTGCCATTATCAGCCACGTAGGAATTCAAATCAATCAATTTATGATCGATATAAAAATCACTGATACATCCTGTGTAATCCTTATTCCGAACTTGGAAACTCGAAGGTATTGCCGGTAGACCTCCCAATTGTAAAGGACCAGTTAGATCTAGAAACCGATGACAAGTCTCGGTGACAATGTTGCAGCGTTGTTCCAAAATTTGTTCACTCCTCCCAGCGCAATTCCACTTCGCTCCCAATTTCTCACCGTACTTCAATGCCAACGCAACGTCACAATTATCCAACGCAACAACGACCGTTCGATTAATGTACGAAATTTGTACCTTATGCCATTCACCGTCCGACACACCACCTGGAACGCTCGCCGTCGCCCTCGTCACCTCATCGCCCAACGAAAAACTAAATTCAATCTGCGAATCGACAATCTCCAAGGCGACAAAATCATGCTTCTCATTATAACGTCCATTGTACAACAAAAGCCCATTCACACTCTCAGTCGCAAATCTCAAAGACAAATGAAACCGATGTCTTTGCTTCAACGAAGGAAATGTCAAAAATGTCGTCGGATTAAAACTCCTCGCTCTCAATTCACAAACTGATGTCGCACTCTCCATTGGGATGATCGGACAACCCTCGCAAATAAATCCACCGGTAGTTCTCCCCTGGCACTGCGAACCCCCTTTGCAAGGGGGTTCACCTGCATCAGGCAAGCAGGTGTCGTTCGTAAGAGATATTTCACAACTCTCGCCTATGTAATCCACAGGGCAGGAGCATGTGTACCCGCCTTCCTTCCGTTGACACGTACCACCATTTCTACAAGGATTCGAATAACAGAGATTTACCTCCGTATCGCAGAGATAGGATTCACGACTACCGGTAAAGCCGGTCGCGCACTGACACGAGAACGTCGTGACCGGGTAAATTGGTCTGAACAAAACGGTATCACTGCTCGCAAAACCGGAAGCGTTGCCGAATTTCAAAACGGTTACACACTCTTCGTAATTTAGACAAGGTTCACGTACGCATAAATTATCATCGAACGGCATGACAATAACTCGTGCCAATCGTGCTAGAATACCTCGATTCAGATAGACTCGTTCTTGCAAAAATTGCGGTGTGTAAAATTCATCAACTGCGCCCGGCTCTACTTTACGCGCCGAGAAACTGACATTTAGAATTTTTCCATGCACGTCCGTGTCCTCTTGCACGCTGAATATGAATATATTCTCAATTGGACATGGTATAATCGCTGCTAGACCGTCGAGAAAATAACCGAAAAGTGGACTTAAAAATGCCTCCACTGTCATGTCGTCGAGCCTCACTGTTATTGAATTAAATAGCATTTTATCGGTGATCAATCTGACGGAGAGGGTCATCATGGCTTTTACTTCATTCACCCCGTCGGTGACGGACACTTCCATTGTTGCAATTCGAGGCACATTGGTATTTAATTGAGGCGACAGGGTTATTTCCCCCGTGGTTCGATTCAATGAAATCATATTCGCATTATTACCAGCGAGAATACTGTAGATTAATTTATCGGTAACGTCCGCATCAACGGCGGGTATTTTACCAATTGGTGTATGTGGAAAGAAATCCTTGAAATTGTTGAAAATTATTTGAAAATCTTTTAAAACGGGCGCATTGTCGTTCACGTCAGTGACGAGTACTTGAACAAGTGCATCGGATCTTAATGGCGGTGATGCGGCACGTATAACTAGCTCGTATTTCTTCTTCGATGATTCGTAATCAAGTTCGTCGAGTGTCATCAATTCGGCACGATCCGCACCTGGTCTTGTGTGTAATTGGAAACTATTTGCATCTTCCCCGCCGATGATTGAATACTGAACGACTGCATTTGGACCTTCGTCGGGATCGTGTGCGTAAATTTCACCAACAATCGAACCGATTGGCGAATTCTCAGAAATGTAGAGAAGTATTTTATCACTCTCGAAAGCTGGCGGTGAATCGTTAATGTCCTCGACTTTTATTATCACAGGAACGGAGGACGAGAGACTTGGAGAACCTCTATCGACAGCTATTGCTTTTATATTGTATCTCTCCACTGATTCACGATCCAATGTTTTTGCTGTACGTATCACACCGGTCACTGGGTCAATTACGAAAGCACCATCTGTGTTGTCCTCCAGACTGTAGCGTACCTGATTAGTAAAACAAATAAACATTTGAAAGATATTAAATATTAATAATTAAGGTTATTTGTTGTGGCCTTTGGTCAACAATAAATTAATATTAAATATTAATTTATTAATAGCCAAATTATTCGCGGGAATGTTGTATTGCACAGTTTATTGTAAAGAATTTTAAGTAATTTTAATTTAAATAATTTTTAAAGAAACACTTATTATGACACATAACTGAAAAACTAATTAGAATTAAATTTTCAAATTATATTATATTTTTAAACTTTAAAGTATATAAAAAAACTTTGATAAATTTTGATACTAATTTTAAATTTGACATCAGATTTTCAAAATTGAAAATAATTAAACTTTCTTTTACGCGAAAAATTAAATTTCGCAAAAAATTGTTGTCTGATACCTAAATTAAAAATAATCTTCATTACGAAAATTTTAATTATTCTGAAGAATAAAGAAGGTAAAAGAATTATTATATATTCAACTTTCTGAACAAAGAATATAAATAATATTTTTTTTTAGAGAATTTTCACTACTTTTAGTTTTAATTCGCTAATTTTCAAAAAAATTTCAAAAAAATCAATTGTTTAACAAAATTTTATGCAATTTATTTTTTACAATCATTCAATTTCTTTCACTAATAAATAAAATTCTTCATGAAAATTCAATTTTAAAAAAAAATTTTTGATTAAAAGCATGAATTTAATTATTTTTATAAATAATAAAACTCATCGGAGAATTTGAATTATTTTTATTACTATTTTGAATTAATTAATAGAGAAATTCAATTATTTTCACAAATAAAGTTTTCCACAAAAAATCAATTATTTAAAATAAAATTTTCATAATATTTATTATATTTCGAAAAAATTAATTATTTTAAACAATGTTTAGAAAATTTTTATGAAGAATTCAATTAGTTTAAAAATAATAGAATTTTTCACAGAAATTCAATTCTTTTTAAATATTTTAATAAACTTTTCCGCAATTATTCAATTATTTTCCAAAATAATAAAATTCTTCTCTGTAGTTCGATTATTTTTGAGAATTATAATAAAATTCCTAGCAACTATTCAATTATTTCCATAAATAATAAAATTCACAGCTGGATTTCAATTATTTTTAATACAATTTTACAGGAATTGCTTAAAAAATGTAATTATTGTTAAAAACTTCATTTCAATTCCTCGAAAAAATCAATTATTTAAAACAATGTTTTTTTAATATTTTTTGGAAGGATTGAATAATTATTTTCAAAAATTTAATAAAATTATTCGAAAGAAATTAATTGTTTTAAATACAATTTTAATTAAATTTTTTTCAAATAATTCAATTATTTTTTTTAATTTTAATTAAATTTTTTCTATGAATTCAATTATTTAAGCAAATAATTTTTCGAATAAATTTTATGCAAATTCTAATTTAAATAATTGTATTAATAAGAAATTTTTATTTATTCGTGAAAATAATTCAATTCGTACAAAGATTTTTACAAAAATTTTTTTAAATAATTGAATTCTGTTTGAAAATTTTATGAAAATAGTAGATCTTATTGAAAATCATTGAATTGCGAAAAGTTTTTAAAAGTTATTAAATTTTATAAAGTATTCTATCAAAATTTTTGACAATAATTGAATGTATGTGTGGTACTTTAATAATTTTTTTGAAAATGAATAAAAATAATTATCCCTAAAAAGCATTTTATTATTTATGAATTAGAAAATAACTGAATTCTTGCAAACGATTTTATTATGATTTTTTAAAATAATTGAATTTCCAAGAAAAAATTTAGTATTTTTAAAAATAATTCAATTCTTGTGATGAATATTGTCATTTATGAGAATAATTGAATTTCGCCAAGAATTTTATTAAAATATACCTCAAAATAATTGAATTTCTGGAAATAACTTTGTTATTTATCAACAGAAATTAATTCTTTCAACGAATTATTTATGTAAATAATTGAATTCTTGGAAAGAATTTTATAAAAATCTAAAACAATAATTGAATTATTTTAATTACATTTTAAAAAAATGTAATTAAAATACATTATAATAATCGTAAGTTCCTTTCCGTTAGCAAATTATCTGCATTCATTTGTTTGTTTTGAAAATTAAATTTTGTGGGTCAAGTATTGGCATTTTTTATTTTTTAATGTCAAACTTTTTAATGTGGAAAATACTTTACTTATTAAATTGTCTCGACTCTTTGGTAAAAAATCTAAAATTATCAAAAATTCAAAAATCCGAATTTCTTAAAATTCAACATTTTTTCTTCTCTTTTATGAGATTAAGCTTCAGTATTTTTGTGCTTTTGGAAAATACTTTACTTATTTAATAGTCTCGACTCTTTAGTAAAAAATCTAAAATTATCAAAAATTCAAAAAAATTCAAAAATCCGATTTTCTTAAAATTCAACATTTTTTCTTCTCTTTTATGGGATTTAGCTTCATTATTTTTGTGCTTTTGGAAAATACTTTACTTATTAAATTGTCTCGACTCTTTGGTAAAAAATCTAAAATTATCGAAAATTCAAAAATTACAGATTTTCTTAAAATTCTACATTTTTTCTTCTTTTATGGGATATAGCTTCATTATTTTTGTGCTTTTGGAAAATACTTTACTTATTAAATTGTCTCGACTCTTTGGTAAAAAATGTAAAATTATCGAAAATTATCAAAAATTCAAAAATCCAAATTTCTTAAAATTCAACATTTTTTCCTCTCTTTTATAGGATTTAGCTTTATTATTTTTGTGCTTTTGGAAAATACTTTACTTATTACATTGTCTCGACTCTTTGGTAAAAAATGTGAAATTATCGAAAATTATCAAAAATTCAAAAATCCGAATTTCTTAAAATTCAACATTTTTTCTTCTCTTTTATGAGATGAGGCTTCATTATTTTTGTGCTTTTGAAAAATACTTTACTTATTCAATTGTCTCGACTCTTTAGTAAAAAATCTAAAATTATCAAAAATTCGAAAAATTTCAAAAATCCGAATTTCTTAAAATTCAACATTTTTTCTTCTCTTTTATGGGATTTAGCTTCATTATTTTTGTGCTTTTGGAAAATACTTTACTTATTAAATTGTCTCGACTCTTTGGTAAAAAATGTAAAATTATCGAAAATTATCAAAAATTTAAAAATCCGAATTTCTTAAAATTCAACATTTTTTCCTCTCTTTTATAGGATTTAGCTTTATTATTTTTGTGCTTTTGGAAAATACTTTACTTATTACATTGTCTCGACTCTTTGGTAAAAAATCTAAAATTATCGAAAATTCAAAAAAATTCAAAAATCAGATTTTCTTAAAATTCTACATTTTTTCTTCTCTTTTATGGGATTTAGCTTCATTATTTTTGTGCTTTTGGAAAATACTTTACTTATTAAATTGTCTCGACTCTTTGGTAAAAAATGTAAAATTATCGAAAATTATCAAAAATTCAAAAATCCGTTTTTCTTAAAATTCAACATTTTTTCCTCTCTTTTATAGGATTTAGCTTTATTATTTTTGTGCTTTTGGAAAATACTTTACTTATTACATTGTCTCGACTCTTTGGTAAAAAATGTGAAATTATCGAAAATTATCAAAAATTCAAAAATCCGAATTTCTTAAAATTCAACATTTTTTCTTCTCTTTTATGGGATTTAGCTTCATTATTATTGTGCTTTTGGAAAATACTTTACTTATTAAATTGTCTCGAATCTTTGGTAAAAAATCTAAAATTATCGAAAATTCAAAAAAATTCAAAAATCAGATTTTCTTAAAATTCTACATTTTTTCTTCTCTTTTATGGGATTTAGCTTCATTATTTTTGTGCTTTTGGAAAATACTTTACTTATTAAATTGTCTCGACTCTTTGGTAAAAAATGTAAAATTATCGAAAATTATCAAAAATTCAAAAATCCGAATTTCTTAAAATTCAACAATTTTTCTTCTTATTTATGGGATTTAGCTTTATTATTTTTGTGCTTTTGGAAAATACTTTACTTATTAAATTGTCTCGACTCTTTGGTAAAAAATGTAAAATTATCGAAAATTATCAAAAATTTAAAAATCCGAATTTCTTAAAATTCTACATTTTTTCTTCTCTTTTATGGGATTTAGCTTCATTATTTTTGTGCTTTTGGAAAATACTTTACTTATTAAATTGTCTCGACTCTTTGGTAAAAAATGTAAAATTATCGAAAATTATCAAAAATTCAAAAATCCGTTTTTCTTAAAATTCAACATTTTTTCCTCTCTTTTATAGGATTTAGCTTTATTATTTTTGTGCTTTTGGAAAATACTTTACTTATTACATTGTCTCGACTCTTTGGTAAAAAATGTGAAATTATCGAAAATTATCAAAAATTCAAAAATCCGAATTTCTTAAAATTCAACATTTTTTCTTCTCTTTTATGGGATTTAGCTTCATTATTTTTGTGCTTTTGGAAAATACTTTACTTATTCAATTGTCTCGACACTTTAGTAAAAAATCTAAAATTATCAAAAATTCGAAAAATTTTAAAAATCCGCTTTTCTTAAAATTCAACAATTTTTCTTCTTATTTATAAGATTTAGCTTTATTATTTTTGTGCTTTTGGAAAATACTTTACTTATTAAATTGTCTCGACTCTTTGGTGAAAAATCTAAAATTATCGAAAATTCAAAAAAATTCAAAAATCAGATTTTCTTAAAATTCTACATTTTTTCTTCTCTTTTATGGGATTTAGCTTCATTATTTTTGTGCTTTTGGAAAATACTTTACTTATTAAATTGTCTCGACTCTTTGGTAAAAAATGTAAAATTATCGAAAATTATCAAAAATTCAAAAATCCGTTTTTCTTAAAATTCAACATTTTTTCCTCTCTTTTATAGGATTTAGCTTTATTATTTTTGTGCTTTTGGAAAATACTTTACTTATTACATTGTCTCGACTCTTTGGTAAAAAATGTAAAATTATCGAAAATTATCAAAAATTCAAAAATCCGAATTTCTTAAAATTCAACATTTTTTCTTC